CCAGGGAGAGCAAGAGCATGTGCAAAGGCCCTGCGGCAGAAGGGCCTGCCCGGGAAACAGAGGGAGGCTAGTGTGACCAGAGCAGGGGGTGGGGGTGGCAGCAGTGAAGCCTGAGGGAAAAGTGGGGCCTTGGAGGCCACTGGAAAGACTCTGGCCAAGGAGGGTCCTGAACACAGGGTGGCACAATCTGCTCTGGGAACAGACCAGAAGGCAGGGGTGAGGGCAAAAGCAGGCAGACCACTTCAGACCTAGTGAAATAACCCGGGGGATGAGGGGTCTGCACCAGGCTGGCACCAGGGGATGCGGTGAGAGTGGACGGAGCTGACAGGTTTGCCGTCGTAAAGGATACAAGTGTGAGAAGGCATGGAGTGAAGGATAAACCACGATGTGTGGCCTGAAAGATGGAGCCAACTGGCTTGGTTTCATACTACACGAGGAGGAAACTGAAGCCAAGGGAGGAGAACAGTCACATCCAAGGTCACACCACTTACTCTAGGGACTAGAACCCAGACCAGTGCTCCCCCCGCTGCCCCAAGCTGCAGCCAGTGGGGGACGCCGGTGACTACACAGGTCACATGTGGACGCCCTCCAGCTCCTCTTTGCTCTCAGATGCTGGAGTAGACAGTGTCCCTCGGGGACCACCGGCACCCAAGCACGTACTGTGAGCGAGGCTGGGAGGAGAGCACAGCCCCTGCCCGGGGAAGACAACCACAGTCCACGGCTGCCACCCGAGAAAGCAGAACTGGTGTGCCCAGAAATTCCCACTTTCCCCAAGAGAACCCCCAAATCTAGATTTTAACAACAACAACTTCTCCAATTTTAAACGGTGGCTTAGTTGTTTAGCAGCCCGGGCCTGAACAAACCTCACGTGCCAGCCAAGTTCCATCCACGCAGGGCTCCAGCTGGGAACCAGTCTCAAGACAGCCTGAAACACACCTGGCTCACTCACACCTCAACCAGGTCAGGGCACAGAATTAAAGCTTTGGGTCTAAGATGGTCTCTATTCCAACTCTGGAGCCAGCAGATGACATCCACTATCACTATAAACAGCGGATCACTTCCGGCACAACCTTAGGGGCCTCCTGTCTGACCAACAAGAAAGTAGCTGTCTATCACTCTGGGCTCTTTGTTAACTGGTTTGACGTTACGCTACACAATGTACTAAGATGAGGCCACTAGTACAGCCAAGAATTCAGAAATTCTCCCCAAATACTATCCAGTGATCCTTTCCAAGTTCTGTGGAATATAACAAAGCCCTGCAAAGAGCCAGGAAGCAACTGCTGTCCGCCAAACAGGAAAATGCCTGCACCCTGGCCCGTGTAAGGGTAGGAGACCGGCAGCTGTTCCAGCCTTGCCAAAATAATCCAACGTAGAAATTACACAACTTTCTTTATAAATTAAAGTTGCCCTGCGTTGCTAGGCATGTGGGAGATGCATGTCATTTACAGCTCTTAAAGGAAACACGCTACATGTGTCTGGCCTCCAGTCGTGGGAGTCGGCCTGCCTGTTTCAGGAGACTCAACGGAACTTGTGTGCCTAAGGAAACAGCCTCCTAGGAAGTCCCCAGGTTAATCTTCCATAATGCTAAGTGGCCCTCTTGCCCAGGCTTTCTCACTTAGAATTAAATATTTACTTTCCCTACAAGCCATATGTTTTCTGCCCAATACCTATCTTCCGTGTCTGTTACATTTGACCACTTTGATGCCCTTGGTGTTAGGTAAGAAGCTCTCCAGGGCGGGACCACTGTCTGTGCTGCGCCCCTGCTCCCCCGCCTTCTTTCCCTTAACATGCAGTTTATAATGCACACCAAGAGTCAGGAACAACTGCTTTCTAAAGGTGACATCTTATTAGGTGGAAGCGCATGAACTGCCACTAATTTAATTTTATTTAACTTTAATTAAGTTGAAATACCTCCGTGTGGCTACCGTACTGGACAACACAGTTCTAGATGGAGTGTCTTCAGACACGAACGAGGTTCGTTTGTGGTGTCTGAAGGCCTGGCACACAGGAGAAGCTTGACAAAGACATGAAATGAAAGCCCTGTCTTGGTACTGCCACATCCCACACTGAATCCCCGCCTTCGTTTCCATCTTCCAATTCCAGGTGCTTCCTGGGGTACTTACTGTCCCAAGGAGTGTGGAATTATACGGCCTGTAGGTGTCGGTGAACATTCAGAAGGCCGTGCCCACATCGCCCAGCAGCTGGGCAACAGGAACTGACCTGCTGGGCCTCTACGTTCTCATCCACAGGATGGGAACAACCACATCTACGCCACGGAAACTGGCTGCTGTGAGGCCAAAATGTACACCAAAGCTGTGAATCTGACTCTAAACAGTAAACCTTAAAAATCAAGTTGGGCTGAGCTTCGGTTGTCCAATGAGATAGCTGGAGAAAATTTAACAGGTGTGTTGGTCTACCTCATTTCATCTGCAATTATTGTGTTACGGGCCAGGCCTTAACCATCGCCGGGCCAGAACGTACAGATGGACAGCAGTGTCTCCACCATCATCATTCTCACTGACCATATTTTTTCTCCCAAAACAAGATTTTAGCACAGAAAAATCTGGATTCTCGAAAGAACGGTTGACTCCCTGCCTATACGTCACTCACCTCCTCGTTAAAACTCCTTGGAATAAAAGAACAAGTAAGAAAAGTCTGGGGTCCTGACATTTTTAAAAGGTGTCCCTGCTACATAATAAACCAGGATGCCAATCAAATGGTTTGCATTCAGCCACTTACATGGAATTTGGTGCTGTATCATCACTACAGCCTACTGACTTAGGGCTCGTTTCAGCAAAGGGCATAATTGCTCAAATGTGACTCAGTGGCTTGGGATTTATTTAAAATTCTCCCATCACCAAAAACTATTCATGCACCAAGGTACCAAACTAACTTCTTAATCTCTGTAGAGATGTTCAGAGGCCGACTCCTAACTGTGAAAGTGAAGAGTTCTGATCCAGCACAGTGCCTGCGGCTCGACTCCCTGGCGGCTGTTTCCAGTCCCCGAGACACCTTTCTCTCCCTGTCCGGCCACCCACCCCGCCACCCTGCAGCTCAACGGGTCCAGAAGCCCTGAACGTGCAAGCCCTGCTCCGCCTCCTGCCTCCAGCTTTCCTCCTTCGCTTCATCAGAGAGGGAAGTGGCATCTCCAGGCCCTCAGAACCGGAAGCTTCTTTCTGGAAGGAAAACAAGTTGGCAGCCCACAGTGGGCCTGACCTTTGGAGAGTTCATAAAGGAACAGAGACGTCACCACAGCCTGCTGCGGGATCACAGAGCCTTCTCTGGGGTTGGATCAGGGGGAAGTCAGGACAGCCAAGCACAGAGGAAAGCGTAGGGGGAGGCAGAGTGCTTCCCAGCCCCGCGGGAACAGCCAAAGCTCTGAAGAGACCTCCTCCCCAAAGTCCAGAAAACGCCACGAAAACGCCCCCGCTCTGAAGGTTCCAGCACACCAGGCAAACTGACCCGCGAGGCTCCCAAGAGCCTGCAAAGTTTCATTTTCTAGATGCTTCCTAGACTCTGCTGACCTCCGACCTCCAGGAGTTATTGCCAAACTTCCTTCTGCCGGCACAAGGTCCCAGGGTTTCCCAGAACTTACCTGGGAGGCTGCCCGACCCTACAGTGAGTGGGTGGTTCTATCTCCAGGCTACAGATAAGGAAACCCGGGTTCAGAGAGGTTAAGCAACCTGAGCAGAGGGTCTGCAGCGTGGCAGGGGTGGGATCCAGACGACAGGACATGGCAAGGCTGCGTCCGCAGCGGGTGGGCCAGAGCCAAACCCAGACCCCACCTCCCTCCCGGCCCGAACACCCTAGAAACTCATGCAAAAACAGTAACAGTCAACACCTGTGGACTACTCCCTACACGTGCTGGGTCTTCACGGTTCTCTCTCCGGCAGCCCGGCTGTTCCGACGTGGAAGCGGACCCCAGAGTGAAACAGCCTGGCCGAGTCCCCACGGTGCCGGCTTTCGGAAGCCCACCCCTTAGCCATGACACCACCCGAGCTACCATTTGTGATCTGCAATGTGGGGAGGGTTCCCCGAGGCTTCCCAGATGCTGCCCGGGAAGCGCGGACCCCAGCCCGCCCTCCCCTGCCCGGCGCCAGGCCGGGAGCCCGGGACCCGGGGCGGGAGCCAGGCGAGGTGCCAGCGCGCTTGACGGCCGGGCCGGAGGTGCCACTTCCGCCGGGCCTGGCACCGCCGGCCCATTCATCGTCCCCCCGCCGGGCGCCCTCGCACCGGGTCCGCGCGGCAGGCCGGGCAAACAGCGCCCCCGGCCCCGCCGCCAGGGGGAGCAGGGAGCCGCCTCCCGCACTCCGGGAAGTTGCCACCGCGGCCGCCGGGCGTCCGGACCCGGACGGTCCGGGTCTCCGCACGGCGGGCCCCGCGGCCCCGAGCCCGGCCCGCCCCGTCGGCGCCGCCCGGCCCCGCCGCGCCCCCAGCCGCAGCCCGAGGCGGGCGCGCTCGGCTCGGGCCCCCATTCAATCCCGCCCCCTCCCCCGCCGGCCCCAGCCGCCTTCCGCCCGCCCCCACCCCCCCCCGCCCGGACTCCAGCCCGGCAACGTCATCCAGCCGCTTCCCGAAGCTTAACCCCTTCCTCCGCCAGCTGTGCGCCGCCCCGCCCCGCCGCCAACTTTCTTCGCCCAACTTCGGAGCGCGCCGGCCGGCCCGACGGCCCGGCTGGGAAAGACAGAGAGAGGTGGGGGGGGCGGCCACGTCGCGCCGCGGGGCCGCCGCAGGTCCCGCAGACGGCGAGGGCGTGGGGTCCACACCTCCGGCACGCTCGGCCAACGCCCCTGCACCGGGTTCGGCCCGGCACACGCCCCCAGGGCCCGCCCGGACCCTCAGGGTCCGCCGCCGAGGCGACGGCCGGGGGCGCCGCCGGGGGAGGGGCCACCAGGGAGACGTGTCACTCCCGGCGCGGCCCGCCCGGCCCGGCCCCGGCGCCCCGACGGCCCGGCCCGCGCGCCGCCACCGCCGCTGCAGGGCCCGGCCAAGTTTCTTACCTGCAGCCGGAGACGCGGGAGGGAGAGCGAAAGGGCAGGAGCCGCCGCCGCCGCCGCCGCGGAACCGGGAGAGAGGAGCCGGCCGAGCCTCCGCCGAGAAGCCGCCCCCGAGCAACTGCAGGCGCCGCGACCCCGACGCCACCCGCCCCGTCCGCCGTCCGCTCCGGCTGCTCGCTGGCTGCGTGCGCGCGTGTGGAGTCGTGGCACTTTCTGCCTCGGAGCTGGCAAACGGCCCCCTCCGCCGGGATCGCCGCCTCCTGCCTTCCCCACCCGGGCCAGCCATTCATCGAGCCGCCTCTCCCCATTGGCCCGTGCCCCGCCACTCCGCCGGCCGCTGACCAGTCAGAGCGCGGGCGGCCGAGCCGCGGCGGCGGCCATTGGGCGGGGAGGCGGGTCTCCGCTTCGGCCAATGGGAGAGGGGAGGAGCTGCGGGGAGCCTCGGGGGCGGGGCCTGTGAGGGGCGGAGCCGCGCGGCGCGGCTCCCGGCCCAGCGCGGGGGCGGGGCGGGCCCGGAACGCGCGGCCGAACGGGGGAGGGGGCGCCGGCCGGCCCCGCCCACCCCGGGCCAGCGACCCTGCTTGCCGGCGCTGATTCCGGGAAGGCTGTGGCCCGGCGGGCCGCGAAGGTTCGAATCCCAGCGGCGCCGCGCCTGCGCCCCTGGCCCCTCCGGGCTGAGATGGCGGTGGGTGTCACCCTGAGCAGGGTTGCGCAACATGCGAACAGTAGGGAGAAATGCTTCGTTTAAAACCAACTGACTTCCCCTGCAGCAGCGCCCCCTCCGGGCCCTAGATGTGAGGACAAGTTATGCTGGGGGTCAGTTCAGAGAGGGCACGTCACTATCTTCAAAGAGATTGCAATCAGCACCAGAAAGAATTTTCTTGAGTAAACTGGGGCGGAAAGTCCAGACGGTGCAGGAGGAATGGAGGGTGGACGTCATTTACACCCATTTTTAGGGAGGTTACAACTGAGGCACTGTCCAAACCTCAACTGGCAGCAGGGCAATGACTGCAGTTGACCTTCTGGCATTTTACTCTGCAATGGGGAGGGTGAGAGGGTCTGACGCACATAAACTCACACACTTTCCAGAAAACTGAGTAAACGGTGCTTCATGACAGGACTTCCCGACCCCTACACCCCCCCCCATATAACCCAGCACTCTCTCTTCATAACCAAATAAGTCTTTCAATTAAGATAATTTTAGGCCTGGTTTCTAACCATTATATCAGTGTCTCTTAAAGCTAACTCTTTGAACTTGAGTCAAAGCCAGTTTCTTTGAAATTAAGGTTTCTGGGAGGCCAAAAGGGCTGCTGCAGGCTGATCTGCCCTGTACCACTTCCCCCACCCCCGTGGCTGCAGAATCCTGTTCCTAATAGCTGTTTCTTGGACAGTCTCACATACTCCCTCCCTCTTTGTCACTGGTACCATATGAGTTGTTAGATGTGGAAATACAAGCCATCATGAGGGAATAAAGAGGGGCTGGGTTGAAATTAAACCGTTCATTCATATTTTTAATCTCAGCAGTTCCCTAGCATATTAATGATTAATCCGCGGGAATTAACCTGGATTAGCTTTCCACACTCAGTCTTTTTCCAGTGGTGAGCCCCGGCTTGACGTAAAAGTCAAGAATCCCAGCTTCTTGCTGGCATATGCTACCAACTAGTTCTAATTGGCCGTGGGTAAACCAGTTAGCCCCTCTGAACATGGATGTACCCTTTTAGGACAATCGCTCCCCTCTCTGGGTTTTGGAGAGTCATTCTTCCATCCCCCCATCCATCTCCCCATCCATCCCATCCATCCAATCCATCCACCCATCCATCCCATCCATCTACCCATCCATCTACCCATCCATCCACCCATCCACCCATCCACCCATCCACCCATCCACCCATCCATCCACCCATCCATCCCATCCATCCACCCATCCATCCACCCATCCATCCCATCCATCCCATCCATCTACCCATCAACCCATCCACCCATCCATCCTATCCATCTACCCATCCATCCCATCCATCCACCCATCCATCCACCCATCCATCCATTCATTGGTGTCTGTCGAGTGCCCGGAAATCACTACAGGCTGGGCAAGCAGCCTAGACTGATACTCAGACCCAGTAAAGACCCAACTGCCCTCAGAGGCCTTGCTGTGGGCACAGACCTCCTTCATTTTATTCACACTGGTTTTCCCAGAAGCAGATCCTGACCAGGAGGGTTTGGGTACAAGTGACTCATTTGAGGGATGATCACAGGAAACACTGGTAGGAAAGTGGGATGGAAAGGGGCTGGTGAAGAGCACAATGTCAAGCAAGTGGCCTCTGCGGGCAGCCAAGGCTCAGCATCGCTGGGCACTAGGGAACCATGTGGAGCCTGCCCCAGAGGTGTCCCCGCTGCAGTGCGGGACTCCCAGTCCTCGTGGTGGAGGGCTTCTTCTGGGGGGCTTTAACTCACCCCGATGCTCCGTCAGCCAGAGAAAGCCTTCCAGCAGAGAGAAGCAGCTGTTTGCAGCAAGAAGCCCTTGGCAGAAGGCTGAGTGCCTGGGGCGTCTGGGGGCCACGATAGGATCTTCTACCGACCCCACACCTGCACAGAGTAGGGGCTCCGTAAATGCACATTCCATAAATGTTGTTAAATGAATCATAGGATTACAAAGTCCGTAGGAGCGAAGGGTGTTTACAAAAAAGGGTCTCTCTGTCTGCTCCCTCCTGTGATTGACATTTTTTTGGCCTCAACACAACATAGGGCTCAGTATGGACAAGTGGCCTGGCCTGAGCCTTTGCCTTTGCTCAGTCCCTGCCCCTTGTCCAGCCTCCACGAGGAGGTCAGCCCCTGCCCCACCCCACCCCCACCTCCTAGCCGACCTGACTCACAGCCACTGCTGTGCCTGCAGACTGCCCTCCCCGGCCCTGCTCCGCCTTCTCAGCATGTCTCAGCCTTGGTCTCTCCCAAGGCGTGTCTGGGAAAAATGGGAACCACCCCCAGGACTAGATGGACAGGAGGTGCCTGTGGGGGAGCGAGGGGCTTCCCCCAGGCTCAGAGCCCCTGGCCCTGCCGCAGGCCTGTAACCATCAAGCCACCCAGCACGAGAGGGATCCCATCGCCCAGCACAGCCTCCAGGTCCTATCTGCTCAGTGCCAGACACAGGCTGGAATCAGGTCCCTGCCGCCCCCTGGATGACAGGCCAGTGAGGGCTGTCACATGAAGCCAGGCCAGGGAGGCCGAGGCGAGCTCAGACTGCGCAGAGCAGAGGGGTGAGAGCAGAAGCTGGAAAGAGAAGGGGAATTAGGCCAGAAGGTGAGAGAACAGGGCGGGTGGAGGCCTGGGATCTAGGTAGCATGGTGCACCAGGGGCCCGCCGATTTGTGGTGTTTTGCCAAAGCTTGAAGGGTGAAGGAGAGGGTAAGAAGAGCTGAGTGTCAAAAGGCGAGCCTCACGGGCACAAGGGAACCATGTGGAGGTGACGTAAATGCTCCGCACCTTGGTGATAGTGACAGTTACACGATCAAATTATGCACTCTTGAAAAGGGCGAATTTGGTTTGTAAGCAAATTATTCTTCAATCAACCTGACTCAAGAAAAAAAAAAAGGATACGTCCTTTTTGGGTTTTAGTTGTATATTAAAAACAAATAAAGCATTCTTATTGGGAAACACTAAACATACAAGAATAATTACCTAGAACAGCCCATTAACTCATGACAGGGCTTTGCTTTCTATGACTAACTTGCAAATATTATTTTTAAAGAGTAGGCAGAAAGAGAAGATATCTTACAGTGTGAAAAGAGGTTTTACTTTATCAACAACTAAAAAAGGATGATAAAAGACAAACAGAAGAAAAATATCATGTGAAAAAAAGGACGTAACGTTTTTAGGTCTTATCACGTGCCAGGCACTATTGGAGATGCCTTACAAATAAGGAAAATTATTTAACCCTCAGAACGACCCAGTAAAGGAGGCACAGTTATTATCTCCACTTTAGAGATGAGGAAACGGAGGCACAGAGAGGTTGAGTACCCTGCCATTTGTCACAGGGCTGGTCAGAGGAGAGGGGTGGGCACCAGGGTCCATGAGCATAACCACTGCATTCGGTGCCAGATCCCAGAAGGTGTGCTGTACCTGTGTGGGTTGCAGTGGTGGTTCAGGGAAGGGTTTGTGGTCAGTGACAGCCAAGGTCACTCCCATGGCCCCCTATTTCGGCTGACTGTGATGCTCAGCTAGGTTGGGGACCCACTGGGTTGGAGGCCATTGCAATAGTTCTGGTGGTGAGGGCTTGAACAAGGCAGTGGCACCATTGGGAGGTGTAAGGGTCCTTCATGAGGGTGTTTAGGAGGTGAAGTAGGTGAGGCTTCGTGACCATGGGAGTGAGGGACAGGGAGGAGCCACCTGTGAGCCCCTGTTCTTGGCCCGAATGACAGGGAACATGGTGGTGTCAGTGCAGGGGCAGGGCATGCAGGAGAATGAATAGGTGGGGGAAAGGAAGTGGGGAGGATGTTGCCTGTTGTCTTGACATGTCGAATTTGAGGAGTCTTGGGGAAGTCCAGGGGGAGATAGTGTTGCATTGGGTCTGAAGCTCAGGGGTGGAGGCCAGTGTGGCTATTACAGTTGGAAACCTGAGCACGAGAGGATGTACAGACCTTAAGGACGGAGATGATCATGCCCAGCATGTGAAGCTGGGAGCTGCATGTGGATGGGGACAGGAGAAACCAGAGCTTGAGTCCTGCACAGAGAGAGGAAAACCCACAAAAGAGTCTGTATCAATCTGCTTTTGCTGCATAATAAATCACTCCAAAACTCAGTGGCTTATCACAATTCTGGTTTCCTATTAGAGCTCACACATCTACGGCAGCTGAGGCTTGGCTGATCTTGGCTGGCCCACGCATAAGTCACGCATGGGTGGGCTGGGGGTTCACTTCTAGTCTGGGCTTGACTGGAGCATCTCGATGCTGCTCCACAAGGCTCATTCCTTTCTTTGGGAATCAGAAACTAGAGAGGGCATTCACTTCTCATGGCGATGGTTGAAGCAAAAGAAAACAAGCAGAAATACACATGGAAGGGAAAGAGTTTCAAGAAGTAAAGAATGATTAAATGCAGACTGGAAATTCAGCAAGATGAAGACTGAAATGTGTGTTAAACGTGGCAACTCAGGAATCAAAGTTTTAGAGGAAGGGGTGGGTGAAAAGTTGGCCACCAAGTTGTGGAGAGCTGAGAAGTGAATGGAGCCGGGGTAGGGGGCAGGTA